GGTGTACTGTGGACAGGTGTGCAAGACTCAGAAACATGGTTCAATTTGGAATTCTTGTGTCGTTAAGTTGAGCATCCATTACACTTTCAAACTGCATGAAAAACTCAATAAGGCTAAAGTTGGGGTTAGTAAACTCACCAAAAAAATTATTTTCACTTTCAGATCGCGATGTGGTCCTAAGTAAACCGGCCATGAATAAAATCCCTAAAAAACCCCGGGATCCAATAACGTCGAATGGAAAACATGTGAGATAACCAGGTGTGGCTCACTAAATCATATTCCACAATGACTTGCATCCACTCCTTTTCAAAATCTTCGGGTGAAAGATAGTTACTCCAAACTACAGAATTTAGTTTGGACAAAAATTCTTCATTACTGCTAAGAGTAGGACCAACCTTCTCAGTGAGTTTAGACATTATGTGCCACATGCAGTAACGGTGACGAGAATTGGGAAAAACTTTTTCAATTGCAATCTTCATAGACGGGTCTTGATCAGTAACGATACACTTAGGTGTGTGTCCCATTGCATTTAGAAAACAACGGAACAACCAAACATATGATTCAACGTCTTCTTTAAATAGAAGACCGACACCAAATGTGACACATTTTTTGTGATTGTCGACACCGGTGAAAGGTGCAAAAACCATATTGTATCTGCAAAGAAAACTGCGTTAAGCTGATGTGCGAAGCTAGAATTTATTAAAGTACGTGTGCATAGAAGCAAAAATCGGTGTGCATAACATATTAAACAGATGAATAACATATTTTTGAAAATAAACGCCAATTAAAGAAGTAATTTAGTTGTGCACAAAATAGTGCTTACGAGTGCAGGCAGTTACATGTTTATAAAATAATCAAATGTTTGAAATTAAACATGGGTTTAGTAATACTAATTAAACACAAACAAAGAAATGTGCAAAAATTAAATTACAAAAGTGCAGAACCTGTTAGTCCCATATGTAGCATCGAAAGAAAGCACATCTCCAAAAAAGGCGTAATTCCTCCTGCAGATTGGGTCAGCCCAAAAAAGACGTGTCAATTGATCACTCTCATCAACGTCATACTCAAAAATATATGCTGAACAAGTTTCTTGCTTCCGAAAAAGCTTATCAGTTAGCATTTGAGCATCCACGCCGGAAATATATGCCTTCAAATCTCGCTTAAAGTTCTTGAAATCAACCGCCGTTGCACCAATATTGCAATATCCTCCAACAGTTTCCTTGTACAGCCGGTATGATTTCATAGTTCCTATATTAGCCTTTGCACAATTGAGAACAAACTTCTGATGACCAAGATCAAGCTTCCTATTTACTTTAAGAAACGGTCTGGCATCAAGAGACGACATAGGATGATTGTGGCGCTCTTCAAATAACGTAATAACATATCCCTTAAGACCATCGAGTCTTAATCTTATGTGTGCTTTACAGCCAACACGGTTTGATACACGGCGACGCCTCTGTTTTTTTTCTCGGTGTCGGGAATAGCATGGGAGGATTCTGGATGCTCTAGAAAAACGTGAGCCTCTGCATCATTATTTGAACATTCAGTGTGTTCATCACTAACAACACTAAAAGGCATAACATGACTAGTTTCTGGAGGATTGACTTTAGCAACATTTTTTAAACCAGCTCTATTGCACACAACATATTTCCACACAATGGTGTCCGTCCTCGGCCGGCGATCCTTAGTTTGAGAACCAATACGAGAATCGAAGCCACAACAAGCTGCATACTGCTTATAAAACTCAATACCATCCTCAAGGGTTTTGAATACCATGCCAAGCTTTGGTTTAAATGATTCATCACATTCCGGGATCCAATACTTGGTTAATCCAGGAGAAATTTGTAAAGCTTCTACAAGAGTGAAAAAAAGAAACATAAACGATGAATGACATTGGTTCAAGAACACAAATGAAACAAAGAAACACGTAGAACAAAAGAAAGAAACTTAAAAAACATACCTTTGTCCATTAATGGAGCTTCGGAGTTTTTGGGGAGGAAGAGACAAAGAAGCTGGAATTCACGTACATGGAATGGCCGGATGGCATCCATAACTGAAAAGGAAATAACTAAGACTTAATTAATTAACAAACAATAATGGAAAGAAATAATGGAATGGGTCTTGGCCGGATACCTACATACAAAAAGGAAAGAATGTTACAATGACCATCATGGCCTGCCCATTCTCGCGTGAGAATTAAAAAAAATGAGTTGGTCTAATGGCCTGGATTGTTTCTTATTTATCTCATTAGATTGTGTTCTTATTTGAACCAAACTCTCTCTCTCTCTCTCTCTCTCTCTCTCTCTATATATATATATATATATATATATATATATATATATATATATATAGAGAGAGAGAGAGAGAGAGAGAGAGAGTTTGGTTCAATCCGGAAGGTCGTCAAATGATTACGAAAATGTCACCGCGTCAAAACATTTCAGCAAAATTACATTCGGATATATATATATATATATATATAGTCCTTCTCCTGTCCGGCCAGGCCGGACAAGACGCTCGTCCGGCTACCTCAATTTGAGGTGGTTCCCGAATGTAATTTTGCTGAAATGTTTTGTGTATGTTCTTCATCAAGTCTAGTTCATCCATACCAAATTTGAGAAAAAAATTCAATCCGGAAGGTCGTCAAATGATTTTTGAAAGATAACCGATCCGGAATGTACATATAAAAACGCAGTTATCTTTCAAAAATCATTTGACGACTTTCCCGATTGAATTGTTTTCTCAAATTTGATATGGATGAAGTAGACTTGATGAAGAACATACAAAACAAATTTCAGCCAAAATTACCACCAGGAATCACCTCAAATTGAGTTAGCCGGACGAGCGTCCTGTCCGGCTTGGCCGGACAGGAATATTTGTGTGTGTGTGTGTATAGGGAGTGAATCAGGTGAGAAGTGCTCTTAGGCCGAAAACTGCGAAGTCAAACTTATAGACTAAATATAGGAACTTTTAACCAAAAAATCATAACTTATAGACCCTCAAAAAATAATTACGAAAATGCCACCGCAAAAAAATAAGTCTCGAAACTCTGAAATTTTTTTGACGCGGTGACATTTTCGTGATTATTATGGAGAGGTTTATAAGTTATGATTTATTGGTTAAAAGTTCCTATGTTTAGTACATTTTATTCTGCACATTTCAGTTACACCTAGTGCACATTTCAACTTCACCTAATGCATAATTCAACTTCACATAATGCCACTGTATCATACCCTCTATGTTGAACATTTCAATTTCACCTAATGCACATTACAATTTCATCTAATGCACATTGAATTTCACTTAAGACAAATCTAACGGTTCTGATTCGTTCTCATTTCTCTCCTAAGATCATGTTTTTATTAGAACCAAAACTTATATATATCAGGTCCGAACGTTCGGACCTGATCCTCCGTCCCAACACCGCCATTCGGGGCGGTTCCCGATCGAATGTTTTTATGATATTTTTATGGTATGTTCTTCATCAAGTCTAGTTGATCCCAAAATATTTCAGCTCGAAATTCGATCTGGAAGGCCTTCAAATGATTTTTTGAAGTTGACTACGTTTTTCTATGTATAATTTGGCGCAGTCAACTTCAAAAAATCATTTAAAGGTCTTCCCTATCGAATTTTGAGCTGAAATTTGATATGAATAGACTAGACTTTATGAAGAACATACCATAAAAATTTAATCAAAACATTCCAACAGAAACGGCCCCGAACAGCGTTGTTCGGACGGTGCCTACTGTCCGAACGTTCGGACCTGATAGGGAAAACTATCAAATAGGCCTGCGTACTATAGCGAAAATGACGATTAGGCCCTCGTACTTGAAAAACACCCAATTAGACACCCGAACTCTTAAAAATCAATCAATTGAGCGTTTAGTAGGTAAGTTTCAAGTTCCCGGTTAACAGCCCACATGGCAGCCCACTTGGATTTATTTCCCTCTTTTCTTTTTCCCTTTCTTTTTCTTTCTTTTCTTTCTTTTACCGGTGGGCGTAGCTCAACTGGTAGCGAGGGAGTGCCACAAGGGTTAGGTCCCGGGTTCGAATCCCGACAACTGCGATGAGAGGTTACTATGCTAAAAAATGCATAGGGTCTCTGCAAGTACCGAGGACAAAGCCCCACTCTCTATCAGATTGGGATTATAGTCCGACTTACATCTTCCCAAGGTACCGTCCAGTCGGGGTTGGGGGCCCTCAGGAATGAGGTGTCATCTTTTTTCTTTATTTTTCTCTCTCTCCTTTCTTGTTCCGGTTCGCAGTTTGCATAGACCAGTTTGTCCAGTGGAGATGATTTCAATTTTTGCCCCCATCGCCAAGGACTCCAGGTGCAACCTCCGGGTACTGCGACGGCCATTTCTGGGGGATTGCAACTTCAATTGATGGAGTTGGAATTCTTGGCTGGCCATCGCCGGATTCCTTGAGTGAAGGATGTCAGATAAGTTGAGTAAAGAGCGGCGGCTGACTGCGGTGTAGGACGGTGGCGGATTGCGGTGAAGGGCAGAGCCGGCCATAGGGGCTAGGCACCTAGGCAGTGGCCTAGGGCACCACTTCCTAGAGGGGCATCTTTTTTAAATAAAAAACTATTATTATATACTACTCCATCCGTTCCTAAAAATTTTTCCCGGTTTGACTTGGCACGCTTATTAAGAAAGTGGAATAAAGTGGAAATGTATGATTGTGGTTGTGTAAGAAAAAGGTAAATGAATGTGAGCCACACAAATTATCCAAAATGGGAAAGTGGGAAGTATTTTTGGGAACAACCCAAAAAGGAAAGTGAGAAGTATTTTTGGGAACGGAGGGAGTATATATTAATACTCCATACCGAGTAGTATTTAGGAAATAGATTTGCCCCTTTAGGCTTTAGCTGCCCAACACTACGGGAATTAGGAGCCTGCCAGCCTGTCAGCACTACCGGATGGCCCAATAGGAATTACTCCGTAGGAAATTAGCCTAGTTAGCCTATTAAGTTAATTAAAATTTAAAAAATCCCTACTCCCTGGTTAACTCTAGGTAACTCTAGGGTCATACACTCATACGGAGGCTAATTGGCCATAGAATATGGACGGACTCACGGTCGAAGGTAGGCAGGTAGCTGACTGCTGATTACTGTAGTACTGTGTACTGTCTACTGACTAGCTACTCTGCGTCTCTGCTGCTACTGCACTACGGCAGTACGGCACTCCCATTCGGCAGGTAATTTTTCTATTTTTATAAATTATTCTCCATCCAATTTATTATTTATTATTTATAAGTTGTATTAAATTTGAAATATTGTGTTACATATATATTTCTTTTAATTTTCTTAAAGTTATTCGATTATCAAATTTGGTCTGAAATTGTTCTTTTTAAACGGTCTTTCCGTAATATACCTAATAATTAGTGCTAAATTATTATTTTGTAGTGTCTACTATGACGGGAAAAAGGAAACAAGAGTCGGGGGCTTCAAGAGAAAAATTAAGAAAAGAAAAGATGAAGTAGTGCAATCTTTTGCGGGTTCCATTGATAGGTATGTAAAACTAAATCTTTCTCCATCGACCTCAAACAAAAATCTCGAGGCAAATGATAAAGATGAGATTGAAAATACTGGTGTTCAACTTGAGAACAAAAATGAAAACAACGATAAGAGTAGATTTGTTGTAGATGATGAGGAGGCAGATGTTGATGATGAGAATGATATTGCAGATGTGTCGCCTGTTACTCTTGATATGACCGAGTTATGTGATCCAGGTAACTGGAAAGTACCTATTTCACAAAAAGAAAAATATTTTCTAGTTGAAAAGGGCCCAATAAGAATTACTGGTCATGATTACCCCGTTGATAAAAAACGGAGTTTTAGTGACAAACACTATACTCGGTGCTTGAAAAATGGTGAAAAATACGACCGCCCATGGTTAGTGTATTCAATGTCAAAAAACAAAGTCATTTGTTTTTGTTGTGTCTTGTTTAAGAAAGGTGGAGTATCAAGCCCATTGACTACCCCGGGTGAAGGGTATAACGATTGACACAATATACATCATAGACTTGCAGAGCATGAGTTGAGCAATGACCATATTTGTAGCATCGAAGCTTGGAGAGAAGCAGAAATAAGACTGAAAAAAAGACAACCATTGCTGCTTTTCGGGAAAGAGCGATCGATAAAGAGAAGGAGTATCGGAGAGCTGTGTTGAAAAGAATCATGAGTGTTGTTAAAACTCTTGCTACTTGTAATATTGCATTTCGAGGTGATAATGAAAAGATTGGAGATGAGAAAAACGGAAACTTTCTCAAGATGATCAATATGATTTCCGAGTTTGATCCAATAATGGAAGAGCACCTTAGGCGTATACGCAAGAAAGAGATTCGGAATCATTATCTTGGTCATAATATTCAAAACGAGATGATACAATTATTAGCAGGTGAAGTAAAAAAGAAGATCCTTCAAGTTGTTAAAGATTCAAAGTATTTCTCCATTATTCTTGATTGCACGCCAGATGTGAGTCATGAGGAGCAAATGACACTTATAGTTTTTTTATTAACCCGGAAGGTAAACCACCAAAATCAGTGGGGCAAACGCCGTGGAACATTTGCCAGAGTTTTATTAATAAATGTGAATAAATACAAAAGAGAGGGGGACAAACCAAAACCTCTCTATAGAGGCTAACCTCTAAACGAACATGAATCAAGACTAAAAAAAACAGAATTTTTTTGGAAGGCTTGGCCTGACCCAAAAAATTCAAAAAACACGAAATTAGAAACGCAAAGCTGGAATACAAAAAAGATCCCCATAATAGCTATTTTTAACATCTTTTGGCAAACTACCTACCTGTTCAAATAAAATAATTTGGGCCGAACCCAAATTCTTCCCTGCAAGCAAATGGGCCGGACCGTTCCCTTCACGAAAAACATGTCCGAATGTAAACCCTCTAAGTGTTGCCTTTCTCCTGAAATCAGCACAGTTGCCTGAATCGTCCAAAACAATGGAGATCGACCTAGCCGCATCACTCTCCACCTGAACATCAGCGAAACCAGCATCCATTGTCATCTCTAAAGCAAAGATCAACGATTGCAGCTCAGCCTCCTCACTGGATGGCGCTTGGATTCTGAAGGTCGTAGCTCATACCAGTTCTCCCAGACGGTTCTGAAGAATAGCTCCTCCCGAAGCACAACCAGATTTGAACGAAGCATCTACGTTCAATTTGAAGTTTTGTTTAGGCCTTTTCCACTTAACAACCTGAATAATAGGGCAATTAAACTTAAACCTTAACGGAATAAGATTTTCAATGAACAAAAAATCTTCCACCCTTCTCCGTTTAATCTTTGTCAAAGTAGAAGCCCATTTCTGAGTGTAAAACTTGATTTGTAAAATAAGGTATTCTGGATTTGGTATAGAACCCGAACCCCAAGTGTATGAAGAAAACACCTTCCAAATGTGCCATGTAATAATGCCAGGCATAATGTGCTTAAAAATATCTGCCATTGATTTTGAACCAGCCTCAATCCACCAGAGAATCAGAACTTGCCTAATCGAAGCTGTGGTAGGCATGAGAATACCATAAATCCCCATAAAGTACTGCCATATGATCTTTGTATACGGACAATTAAAGAAAATATGATCAGTAGTTTCATAATTCCTCCTACAAAGAGGGCACCTAGATGGATAGACAGTCAATTGAAACCTCTTAAGATTTTCACAAGTGGGCAGAAATGAGTTCAGAAGCTTCCAAAGAAAAACTTTAATCTGCATAGACTGATACTTATGCCAAATATGTTTATCAGTAAAAGTAACTGATTTTTTGTTCCTGATTTCATTGTAAGCAGGCGCCAGAGAGAAGTTACCATGAATACCAGGGTCCCATTGCAATGAACCAGATGAATTTTCTGAACAAAGGTCAGTAGCTACATCATGAATCTCACAAATTCTTCTCCAAACATTAGAATCAGTAGTTTAGGCCTCATATCCTCTCCTCTAGAGTATCTAGCTTTAATGAAAGAAACCCAAAGAGATTTCTGAGTTTTCCATTTCCACCATAACTTCAGAGAATAAGCTGTTTGAACATCATTAAGTCCTCTAATCCCTAACCCTCCTTCTTCGGTAGTATAACATAACCTTGTCCATTTAGCCCAATGAAATTTCTTTCTGGTTGTAGAGGATCCCCAAAAAAAAGAAGTCATTTTTTTCTCCAAGGTAGTAATGACCTTTTTAGGAAGCTTAGCAGTAGCAAAGATGTAATTAGGGATGGTATTGAGTACATATTTAATCAAGACAAGTCTGCCTCCTTGGGAAAGATTTTTCTGTTTCCAAGAGGATAGCTTTGAATCAAAATGTTCAATAATGTGAGAACAATATTGAAACATGTTCATCCCTTTATGCAGGTGAGATCCTAAATATTTCATTGGAAGAGAAGAGTTCCTCATTCCCTAGATATTTTTAATAGTTGTGCTTCTGTAAGTAGCACCCTTCCCTGTAATAAAACTGCTTTTCTCTAAATTAACAGTTTGGCCTGAGGCTGCTTGATAATCATTAATAAACCTTTTAAACTGCAGCAAAGACCTGGAATCACCATTTGTAAAGACCAAAAGGTCATTAGCAAACCCAAGATGACTGATGGGGAACCCCATACATCCTAACCAGAATGGTTTAATATAGCCCTGCTCCATTCTAACTTTTAAGCTTCTTGAAAACCCTTCAGAGGCAATGATAAAGAGAAAAGGTGAAATAGGGTCACCTTGTTTGACCCCCCTTTTTGGCTGGAAAAAACCATGGGGACTCCCATTAATCAAAATAGATAAGTAGGTGGATTGTAAATTGTTTCTAATGAGAGAAACAAACTGATTTGAGAAACCAAATCTGTCCAAAACCCCAAATAAGTAGTTCCAAGATAGTTTGTCAAATGCTTTGGCCATATCCAACTTAATGACCACATTTGATCCTCTGACTTTCTTATCAATTGCATGGACCATTTCTTGGGCTATAAGAATTTGGTCTGAGATGTCCCTGCCCTTAACAAAACCAGTTTGTTCTTCAGAAATGGTTTTAGGCAACAGTTTGACCAATCTGGTAGCCAGAACTTTAGTACAAATTTTATTTCAGAAATTAGATAAGCATATAGGCCTGAAGTCAGAAAAGGTAGATGCAGTTTCTGTTTTGTGGATTAAGGTAATGAAGGAACTAGAGAAACCTTTAGGAAGAGGCACCCCTATAAAAAATTCCTGGATAGCTTTTACAACATCACTCCCAACAATATGCCAACACTTTTTGTAAAATTTTCCAGAGAAACCATTAGGTCCAGGAGCCCCATTTTGATTTAACTCCCAAACTGTATCCTTAACTTCCTCTTCAGTAGGAATAGAACAAAGAAAGTCATTATCCTCTTTGTTAATGATGTGAGGAATGTTGTTAAGAATATCATTTTCAATTGTGACAAACTCAGATGCATACAGGTAGAGAAGAAGTCAACTACAGCTGCTCCAATCTCAGGTGAGTCATAAATATCCTTCCCTGCAGAGTCTTTAATCATCTGAATCATTTGCTTTTCCTTCTTATCTTCACAAAAGAGTGGAAATAATGAGTATTACTATCCCCTTCTTTAAGCCATTTGACATGAGCCTTTTGCTTCCAAAACTTCCTTTCTAGTCTGTATTTATTTAGAAGCAAAGCTTTTTGTAGTTGCCACTCCTCTCTATTAGCCTCTGTAGGTGACAGAATATAATTATGTTCTGCCTTTGCAACCTCTTGTTCAATGAAATTGATGTCATCAAATATGTTGCCAAAAACTTCTTTGTTCCATCTTCTCAAATCTTTTTTAAGCTTCTGTAACTTGGTAACCAGTCCAAACATTCCACCCCCAATAGAAATACTATTCCAACTATGTGAAACTGTACTGAGAAAGGAGTTATGTGAAATCCACATATTTTGAAACCTAAAAAGTTTAGGCCTTGTCTGAATATTTTGAAAACATTGAATCAACATAGGACAATGATCAGAGGGAGCTTGATTAAGATTGGTAACAGTAATCTTGTCAAAAGAATCTAGAAAAACCTCATTAAAAAGACATCTATCTAGCCTCCTCCAAAGTCTCCCTCATGATCTAACACCTGTCCAGGAATACTGACACCCAGAGAAGGGAATGTCAATGAGATTACATTGAGATGCACAGTCTTTGAATTCCAGCATGCTTGTCAGATTAGGTATTGAAGCCCCTTTATGTTCAGCATTATACATAATAGTATTGAAGTCACCACCCACCAGCCAAGGCCCATTAATCTGACCGGTAAACTGACATAATTGCCCCCATAGCTCCCTCCTCTCTAAATGAGTATGTTTGGCATAGATAGCAGTAATCCAACCAGTAGTTGACCCAAGAGTGAATCGAAAATGAACATATTGTAAACCCCAACTAGTATTTGAAAGTGTAATACTATTGGAATCCCAAAACAGCCACACTTTATTTCTAGAATTGAAAAGAACATTAGTGAAACCCAAGACCATCTTGAAATACTCAGCTTTATTACAATCAACCATAGGCTCTATAGCAATAAGAAAATTTATCCTCCATTTAGAAACAAGATGAGATAGTCTTGGCTCGGAGGCATCCAAACCTCTCACATTCCAAATTAGCCCATTCATTGAGGGAGTGAGATATTAGTTCGAGCCTGCCTTTTGGCAGCATTCCTTGTTACCATGCTTGTGTGTTGTTGGAACTGAACTTTTTTCCTCCTTCTTTTACCAACTGTTATGAAACCATCCTCTGTTTCATTTTGCTTCTGGATGGTATGTGGTGACTGAATAAGAGCTGAGAGGAGCTCAGAATCTTCCCTTAGTTTTCTGGAATCCATCAGAACTTGTACTTTAGCAATCAGACCAGGTAAGACTTCTTCCCATTCTTGTTTACTTTCTTTATTGTGAGGGACATCTGTATCTGAACCATATTCCTTTGCTGTCAGATCTGGGTCAAAATTTGATGACTTTTCCAAAGAATGAATGGAGAAATCAACATGAGTTGTGGCACAATCTGCTGATAAGTAAAGACCAGGTATCTCTCCATGTATGATATGATGAAGATTATCATTTACGTTGGCCTTGGTATTAGTTTCCTTATTTGCTGCAGGTGGATCCTCATGGAAGACCTCCTCAGTGCCAGTTTCAGAATCTTCAGTCAAATCAACAGCATGAGATTTTGAAGAAGAGGGTTGGTCATGACAATTTGGAGAAGAGGGACCTTTTTGCTGGAAGACAACAATAGCCTTCCCCTTGTCTAAGATAGCTTCTTCATTGTTTGAATTTTTATCCTTCCCCTTAGCTGTGTTATCATTCCCATTCCCTACAGCCCCTGTTGTAGTAGCTTTAAATTGCTGAGTATTTGTAGCTGACTTTTGAACCCATTTGGGACCTGTATAGGCTGGAACATCAGCCTGTAGCTTGTTCCCCCCATCCACTCGTTTTTTGGGACATTTACTGGCTTCATGTCCCAAATGTAAACATGACATACAGTAGAAATGACGATTTTCATAAGTAACTGATTGAGAGAAACCTGTTTTCCCAGTTTGGATCCAAACCTTACTGGGCATTTCCTTGGTGAGATCAAGCTCTACACAAACGCGTGCAAGAGATGGTCTAGCCAGCGTAGCAGTTGCAATGTCAAGTTTAAGAGGCTTTCCAACTAAATTAGCAATCACAAACAAGGCTCTTTTATCATGAAGATGTATTGGCAATCCCTCAAAGGTTAACCACACCGGTACCACCGGGAACTCGACATTGGGTCTGAAATCAGGGGACCATTTGGATACCCTCATAATATTGCCATGGATATCCCAAGTTTGGCGATTCCAACATCTTATATAATCCTCCTCCAGGTCAAAACATATTAATACATGTTTTTGTTCAAGCAACCCCAAGTGAAATCCTCCCTTAAATCCTATTATTTCAAAAGATCTATGAAGAAAAGACATAGGAGGCCGAACTTTATAAAAGTAACCAACCAAAGATAGGTTGTGTTTGTCTGCAAGAATTTGGATGTCTTCCTCAGAGAAAGTTGCAGCAGGCATCCCTTTGTAGCGTATTGCAGGAGTAGCGGAGAGAGTAGCGTCTTCCTTATCTAGGAGAACAGAAACAAATGAGCGTTTTCCTCCCGCCCAAACATTCCCCAGCGGCGGCGGTTGAGCTGGCGACAGCGGCGCTGTCTTAGTAGTAGGGTTCGCGGAGCTCATGGTCTCGCTCGGGTTCCCAAAATTAGCTTCGCTAGTGATGCACATTTGTCGCAAATGACACTTATAATAAGATGTGTCAATGTGTCTACTACTCCGATGAGAATTGAAGAGTTTTTCATTACATTTGTGAAGGTAGTTGAGACAACGGGAGAGGCTCTCTTTGATGAGCTTAAATGCTTACTTCAGACCCATGAACTTGATTTCAGTAATATTAGAGGACAATGTTATGACAATGGTTCAAACATGAAAGGGGCAATAAAGGTGTGCAAGCTAGAGTGCTAAAAGAATATCCTAGAGCATTTTACACGCCATGTGGTTGTCATTCTCTTAATCTCTCCCTCTGTGACATGGCATTGAGTTGTCCACAAGCAAATTTTTTTTTGTGTTGTACAACAAATTTACAAATTATTTTCAGGTGCATCTCCATCTATCTATTAGCTCATTATTTATTTATTTATCTTTGTATTTATAAATGCTATTATTTCATTATTGATTAATAATATATTGTAACCATTAATAATTTCAGGTTCAACAAAAAGATGGGAGATTTTCAAAACATTTGTCAAATATCGTGATGGAAAAGGTCTTACTCTAAAGTTGTGGTCTGATACGCGTTGGGAAAATCGTATTGCTAGTGTTAGAGCAATCAGATTTCAGACACCATAAATACAACAAGCATTGGAGCATTTGATGAAAACTAGTAATGATGTTAGCACTGTGAGTGATGCTAAATCCTTGTCTGAATATGAAATGAACTTTGATTTTATTGTTAGTATGGTAATTTGGTATGAGGTATTAAACAAAGTGAACAAAATCAGCAAAGTGCTTCAACAAAGAGATATGAATGTTGGTGCGGCTTTAAATCTCTTGAAAGGATTGATTGTATTTTTCAAAGAATATAGAGAAGAGGGGTTTGAAAAGGCCAAAATTGAAGCTCAAAATATTGCCATTGAGTTACTCATTGAGCCTCAATTTCGTGACATTCGTATTCGAACCAAAAAGAAGTTTTTTGATGAGAAAGCAGTTGATGAGCCAATGAAGTCAGCTTAAGATGTGTTTAGAGGAGCATATTTCTTAGTAGTTGTTGATAATGCTATTTCTTCATTGGAAACTAGATTTCAACAATTACAGAAATATGAAGAAACTTTTGGATTCTTGTATAATCTGAGTAAGCTAAGGACGATAAGTGATGAAGAGTTGGCTCGTTCTTGTGATACCCTTGGGAGTTTTTTGACGCACGGGGATGATTGCGATATTGATTCAATTGAGTTATTTTCGGAACTTCAATTGTTAAGCAAGTCACTGCCTGAAGATAAAAAAAATCATTGAAGTGATGGAGTACATTAGAGAGATGCATATTTTTTTCCCGCATGCTTGGATTGCTTACAGAATTTTGTTAACTATGCCCGTGACAGTTGCATTTGCCGAAAGAAGTTTTTCAAAGTTGAAGTTGATAAAGAACTATATCCGCTCAACAATGTCACAAGAGATGTTAAGCGGGCTCGCTATGCTATCTATAGAAAAAAAAGTATTATCTACTCTTGATTGTGGTGATGTACTTACAAATTTTATACATCAAAAAGCAAGAAGAACATGTTATTAGGTAGTACTTTTATAATTTTATTTATTTCTTTGAAGTATTTTCACATACTTTATATAAATTTTAAGTGAAGTATTTCTTTTTACATTTAGTAAAAAATGATGTTATAATTTTTTAATTACTTCATATTTAATTATGTTATTAATTTGAATTACTATTTGATCCATTAGTCATTTTTTGTCTGGGGCACCAAAATTCCTGGAGACGGCCCTGGTGAAGGGTGACCTCTAACTAAATGATGTCCGGTGGATAGGTGCAGTGGAGCCCACCGGCTAAGGGCAGTGATATCTGGCGAAGGCGCGCAGGTCAACTGAAAAGCCGACAGTGACAGCGGCACAGGTGTGGTGGCCGCCAGTTGAGTGATGGCGCAGGATAGTGAGTTCGGTGGATGGAGACACATGTGCGGTGGCCGGCATTGTGTTGTTGGGCAGAAGTCAACAAGGCCTGCGTAGAAGAGAAGAGAGAGGGAAAGAGAGAGAAAAACAAAGGAGAAAAAGAAACAAAAAGAAAGAGAAAGGGAAAAAAGGGGAAAAGAAGAATAAATCCACGTCGACTGCCACGTGGGCCGCTAACCAGAAACCTACAGCTGACCTGCTAAAACGCTCAATTGATCGGTTTTTAAGAGTTCGGGAGCCCAATTAGGTGTTTTCAAGTACCAGGGCCTAATCGTCATTTTCGCTATAGTACGGGGGCCTATTTGACAGTTTTCCCACACACACACATACGGAGTATAAGAAATGAAGTGTAACCATCAAAAGTTCTCTGTAATCAGTAATGATGATATTAAAAAAGTCAAAAATAAATTTTGCCTATCAGAGAAACAATAGATCAATTTGGATAGGTTTCTTTCCAACAGACAAAAACAACTATTTTGCATTCCCTTTAAAGTGGACACTCTACAAGTTTCAAGATGCAGACTACCCCTTACGTGCAATATTTTAGTAATTCTAGATTGCATTTTCATATTTCTTGCTCAAATAATATATTTACATATGTACAAATTCATGCAATGCATTTGCATTATAACCCTTACATCACTAAAAACACATTATAGCCCTGTATATACGAGTGGTGCTTGAAGGGACAAATGAAGTTCCGGAGAAATAATATCTTTGAAGTTTAGAGTCGATTTGCAATGTCGATTTTAATTTCATTTTTTCACTCAATATCTTTCCACCTTCAAGTAAACTTAGATGCTATAAAAAATCAATTAACTAATCAATTAACCTTCATAAGGGTTTGAAACTCAATGGAGTGAGTTTCAGATTACTTCAGGGCCCCCCAGCCCCCCTCCCCCAAACCCCTTGGAGTAAAAAAAACTAATACATTATAAATTCTTCATATCCTAAATCCTAATAGCTGAAAGAGGCAAAGACATTAGAAAAACCTCATAGCCTAATAGCGAGAAATAAGCTAAAATAACCTCATAGTTGAGATTTGAATTTCAATAATAACCTAAAATAAACTATTAGAGCCTTTAGAGGTAAATTAATAGCCAACAATAGTCTATTTGAATTCCCTTAACCTAGGTTCACAGTAATTGTCATTTGAATTTCAATAGGCTCAGACATGCATATTTAGAAACAAAGACAATCAATAATACTTGCACTAAATAGGATTTGAAGATGACTGTCATAAGCGTACATATGAATTGGAATTCTTATTCATCACCAACAGATAGTATTACCAACATTCTCCCATCAACACTCTCTGATGTACACATCTTAAACCATGAAATTTCTCTGCATGAGCATAAGAACAAAACTAATATATATTCATTTTAGATTTCACCTTCCTATTTTAATGGTACAATTAAAGTAAATTAAAGTTTTGTATCGATCAAAACTATTCACCAAATCATTACTCTCATTATACTCATAAACTCAATTATACAACATGAGGAATCAAGTGTTTATTCAGCAAAGTCTAGAAATTAAATCATCCAATTTGGTTGGCAAATGTTCATTTCTGCTTTCAAACTCTTTAGAATATACTACCAAGGTATAGAAGCGAATGGATCACATAAACTAGTCATAAGGGAAATTCACACTTTTAGTCCTTGAAATATTCACCATATTGAAATGTCATACCCGTATTTATGAGATTGTAAATGTCACCTCTCAATTGTCCAAATTGTTGTAAATGTGGTCCTTTGAGGGGAAATGTACTCATCGCCCACACTGTACATTTCACCCCTCAAAGGACCACATTTACAACAATTTGGACAATTGAGGGTGACATTTACAAACCGGAGAATACAGGTCTGACATTTCAATATGGTGACTATTTCAGAGATAAAAAGTGCAATTTTCCCTAATCATAATTCATCAAACAAAAAATTGTCAATATTAAAGAAAAGGATCCAATTTACGTGAGGAAACGATCCAGCTCAATTGATCATCAACTCTATCTATCATACGGTAGGTCTCGGGTTCGAAACTCCATGGAGGGAGTTTGAGCCTTGTTTACCACAACATGCTCCCCACTCCCCAGCCCCCTCCCATCCCCGGTGACCCCCCGGGGCAAAAAAAAATCAACTTACGTTAAAGGAAAGGAAAATGGAACTATAACAGTTTTTTTATTAAAGTTATTGATATTGTTATTGAAAATGGAACTATGGATTTAATATTTAAGCCAATGGTCAAAGTTATTGTTTTTACCAAAAAGTTAATTTTGTTAAATTAAAAAATCAAATCCGGTCCAATACCGATTCGGTGATGGACTAAAACTATATAATCCAGCTTAATGTCCAATAATTTTTAGAATTCCTCCTCCGGTTCATCCAATTCCGATCCAGTCCTGGACAGGCACTCACCACTAGAGGCAGGGGAGCGATGAGAGAAACAAGAACTTGTGTATGTGCATACATATTGAATTATAGAATCAGAAAAAAGGGATCAGCTTGGACTTGTTGAATTCACGTGAACGTGTCGCACAAAGCCCTCACATATGGGGATGTGTGATTTGGTATACATATGCACCAAGGCAGGCATGTTTACATTTAGTTAGAAGTTAGCAGAAGAGGCTAATGAGCAGCCACTACACCAACACCTCCCGCAGCCAATGGAAAGAAAGTGTGGTGTGGCGGACAGTTTAGCTGTTTTACCATCACATTGCAAAAACCAAGTGATCATTATCTCTTATCAACTCGATACAATCAATCTCTGCTCCCTCGTTGCTCAAAACCTTTTCTGGCACGAAACCATATTTCTTAATGCCAATCTGAAGTAGCTCTTGGAAGCTACTAGGAAGCATCACAACCACCCCGTAGACATCTCCTTTCTCAGGACAGCTCACAGTGACCCTGGCAGTAACACAGGTCATCATCCCACTCACAGTTTTTGCAGTTGCATTCCCAGCAGGATATGTAGGCAAGCTTTCTTGTTGGTCACCTCCGTTCCGGGCAGCAGCTGATAGTATTCCAAATAATGAGTTGTTGAAGGTGTTAGTTTTCCTTCTCCTAGATCGACCCCAACCTGAGGACCCTTCCGTTGTCACCTGGAGTGAAGAAGAAAGAGGGATGGTCGGCTCGCTCTTAAACCTCCCCAAGAACCGAAGCCCATTCCTTTCTTCATATAGGGGTACAGTTATAAAATTGTTATTAACAGCATAAGATGTGGTTTTGTTCTTCTCTTTCTTGGAGAGCTCAAGAAATAGTTGTTTGATGTCCTCGTGGCCTTGCTGTTCAGCCAGGCTCCTTGGGGTCCACCCGTTTTCTTCGGGTTTGTCGATATCAGCCCCTTGGTTTACAAGGTACTTGACCATCTCAAGGTTTCCCTCGCACACTGCAATATGGAGTGCTGTTGATCCATTATTGGCTTTGGGATGGGTGACATCCCCACCCCACTGTACAATTTCTTTGAGTAGGTCCATGTTGTTTTCTTCGGCCGCTATGCACGCAAAACGACCCATGTCACCTCGGCACAGTTCAGCACCATTGTCTATCAACATCCTGATGATTGATTCATGCTTTCCCAAGATGGCCTCCCATACCGGTATACTCCCTTCTATGTCTGTGCGTATACATGTTTAATACCATAAGAAAATGCAGAAAAGTGTACGACTAAACACATTAATGCACAAATCATTACCATTATAGATCCTAAGTTGACAAACAGGCGGATCCAAAGATGTCACATTCGGGGGGGGGGGGGGGGGGCAAAATTCAAGACTTCACTTTTTTGTACTGCTTATTAATATTTAAGCACATATATAAATCATAAATTTTACTTGGGGGGAGACCCCCTCCAGCCCCTCCCCGTCTCCACCACTTTATTATGACAAAACCCTGGGAATCATAATTTTTTGTTGAATATAAATAATTGATTCCTCATTTCTAAAAAACAATAGAGGGATAATACAGATTGGATGTGTGTTTCAGATGATATGGACTTCAAAAAAGTGCAATAAGGGAAACACATATATCGCGAGAAAAATGCATGAACTTGTCGAAATTACCTGTATTATATGATTTAAAATCCACTATTATGATCCATTCAGTGGGGAAGATGGAACCGAATGAAATTTCAAACCATTTACAAATTTTGGAAACTAAATTCGTTATAATGTAGTGTATAATTTATACCTATACAGTTCGGATCAGCCCCAAAGTCCAACAGAAGAGCTACACAGTTCTCACATCCTTTCGATGCTGCTATATGCTGAGGGTGGAAAAAGAAAACGAAAATGACTAAAATGCGGAACTCATGTATAAGAGAATCAGCATTAGAGTTCACATACAAGAGCAGATCTTCCATTGTTGTCAGATTCATTTGGGTCAAGGCCCCGCTTCAGCAGATGGCGCAACAATAAATCATCTCCTCTGAGTGCGGCAAAGCAAAGGGTGAGAGGTAAGTCCATTCTTCCTCGGGCTAACATGTTCTCTGTCTGTAAGAGGACTCCCTCCATAATGGGATCCCTTGCATTCTTCAAATGCTGCTACCAGAACAACTATATGTTATAGTCTGCAAAATGTTGAATTTATACTACGTACTAAATTTGACATTCTGACCTGAAGGAGGTTATTCATAATGATGGTTCCATCTCCAACATTGGACTGAACTATATTTAAAAATGAAGTACGGTTCAGTCGTAGAAGCTGACTCAATCTTCTTGTACGGACTGTGAATAGCTGAGGCCTATAACAAAGAACTCCAATTTCACCAACAGGATCACCAGTCTTGGCCTCACCAACAACCTAGAGTGTATCATAACAATACCGAACAAAACTATGAAGCATAAAGAGCAAAACTCATGGATGAAGCCAATGGATTAATCCATGTAATATAAGGAAATCTTCCATGCGAAGGTAGTGAACTGGGAGGTTTTCACATGACACTTACCTGTTCAACTCCATTTTTGTAGACCAGTAGATCCTGCCAGGCAATTTCAAGGATAAAGAATATGACTATATTCAACCACAATAATAAAGGGAATGATAATACTTAGCATATGATTTGTTAATACTTTATATAAGTATTTTTTTACTGAGGATAAAAAGTTAAAAACAAAATACCGCAGCTCCAGTAACAAGAATGTAGAAGTCTGTCGGTGCTTCATTTTGAAGAATTACATCCTCTTTGGGGGGAAAGTACTCTGCTTTCATCTCTGAGACCTTATATTACACCAAAACATGTGTTATTAAATATTTTTATTAAAAAATAGAGAAATTGCAGTGTGTTTTATCATTTATATGTAAAATGCATCTGAACTCACTAGTTGGAAGAGTAAATCATTTGAAACTCCCCGAAAAAGATAGACATTATCAACCAAAGAGTAAAACAGAAAATGTGATATGCTTGACCGGATAGCTTTAGGGAGGGAATCAAGTGTCTCTTGCTGCTGCAGTCCCTCTGAATCTGTTCTGAACTTCAAGCACAAGTGAGCAAGCATCTGTTCTTGGAGGCGAGTGGGCAACTGATTCCTGTGTGCAAAACTTGAGGCTGTTTGAATTGTATCTCTCTGTAATTATTGGAAAGTAAAAAATTACTTCACATTGCACGCCATACAAGGATAATAGATGATTTCATAACCCAACATGGTATGATGTGCTCACAAATTGTCTGGTCTTGCTTGTACGATGAACTACTAAATTTGTCATATTTCCTATTAAGTATGCTGTCAGCCCCAAGTTAAAGAGCATGTAGAACATGGTGAATATCATCTCCACAGTGTTCTCAGCATGCAGGTCACCATAACCAACTGTCGTCAGAGTTGTGATTGACCAATATATAGAAGTGACATAACGAATCCCTAGATTCTGGTGACGGAAATCTTCCATAGATGCCCCAATCCAAGTTCTTTTTGGGTCATGATAATGAGCAGCAAGGAAATAATAGAAGCATCCAGCAACATGAACGGCAAAAAGGGTAACCTGCATTACACACAACAGATCACATCGTGTTTCATCAGCAGCCTTGCATTAAATTCCCCATTCCCAGAAAACAACAGTATTTTCAGTACGCACTTACACATATAAGTTTTGCACACCGAACCCAAAAATAACTGAAATTCTTATCTTTCTCCAATCTATAGAAAAGAGAATAGTGCAGCCTATTACTCTCCAATCATTATTGGTAGTAATTCAGTACAGTAGTCAAAGGAATTACCTGGCAAATAGGGCACTAACTCTACGGAGACGCCAGAGGCGAAGCATACTGAATAAACCATACAAGCTTAGAGGAGGTGAGATTTTACAAGCTACTTCTGGAGGAATTGTGGAAATGACATCAAATATGAACCAAGTACTTGCATAACGCCAAGCGATCCGTTTTGGGGTATCAACAAGAAGGTATGTGGTTTTATCCATGTATGCCACAAAGAAAGTGAGAACAATGTCAATTGCAAAGAAACTGTTCACAACATTATCAATAATAGAGAGAGTTCCTGCTGGGTATGAAAGAAAACCGAATTCAAAAGGAGATACCCAAGCAATATATAGGACCAGGGCAGCCAGAAAAGTCTCCCATGACCTGAAATTTTTATCCAAGGTGAGATTATTTTAGAGAATAAAAGTGAAGAATCGTTGAATAACGTACTTCTATGGTTCAAGGAAATAACTACAAACTGAACATTTTAGTGTTGACTGCTAACTGCAACTTCTATAATAAAAATGAGAAGACATGATCATCTTCAATTTGAGAAATAATTTTTTTTGTTATCAAATAGACATACTACGTATTAAATTATTATTACAGAACTTCATGTTCAATACAATCTATTAGCAAACTGACAATAGCTGAATCCTCATTGGATAATCTCTGGATATGATGATGCAGATTGATTCTTAGCCTTTGTTTCGACAACTGGATATTTTGTTTGGTTTTAGTAATTACCAAATGAGCTCCAGATTTTTTTACAGTAATCATGTGTCTATTACACACGGTGGTGGCATATGGGCATCAAGTTCAGTTAATAAGAAACATATGGTGGATGGCTCCAGCTGGAGTAAAAGTTTTGAACCCTTTCGACCACAATATATACTGAGTATTCTTTAAAAGGAAGGGAGACCAAAAGATAATAAGCAATAAGGCTTTTTTGTTCAGTCAAGATTTAGCATCTCAAAGCAATGAAGCGTATGGGAACTATAAGCAGCAAAATGCATAGTAAACTGTCTCTTGCATAGTCCCCAGATAATCATTTTGCATCATTTTCCCTGCATATAGAAAACTAAAGAGACTAGAATATTTAGCAAGCATTCTGTTGCTGAAGCCCACATTCAAGCTGAAGCTCCCAAACTAACAGTTGCTAGGTACTTCATTCTTAAGGAGGCTAGACATTATAGTATACCCATTGATGCCCCCGGAAAATAAATGAAGAAATACTGAAATAACTTAAGCTTTCAATGATTTTTTTTGTGTTTCGCCCCAAATTAATCATCTCTCTTATGTACCATATTTCAGGTTTATGAGTTCATATTACAATCTCATGCTAAATCCGAATAGAGGTCAAAGAGAATAAAAAAAAGTATAAAATTTGGAAACGGGTATGATGAAACAGTAAAACCAAACTGAAGAATCGAAACAATAACTGATGCATTCTATGCATAAGAAGATGTTAACCTATAACGGCGATCATAAGGAGAGACAATAAACCGGCGGAGTTTTACTCTGCGGCTGCTTCGAGCACCCAGAGGCGGAAGAATGCCCGTAGAAAGGCTGTAGTGGCTGCCGTCTCTAGATGACTGTTCAATTTCAAGCGCTTCGCCGCACAAGGGAACCTGAAAGAACCCTTCTCTGAGTCGTTCCATACGACTACCATTCGCCATTGCTGCGGAGCTCTGATTTCATTCCTTCTGTGCTAGTATGTGTCTTTGAATGTCGGGTTTAAATACACCTTCATTGGGCCCACCTTAATGTTTTCTTACCACCGCTTCGAAAAGTTTTCGGCTTTTTTTTACTAACTAGTCTTTCACCATGTTTTCAAAGTATGGTAATGCACACAAGTCTTGGTATTCACAAGTGTTACCAATTATTTAGAGTAGCCTATATCAACATGTTTTCAATCTAGAGTTTAGAGTTAAGTGTTTAGTTGCTAATAATGTGAAGGATATATTCATGCAAATCAATATAGGAAGAACTAAAACGCACTACCCAATTTTTTATTTATGGAAAACGTTCAAATATATTAAATCAAATAATCATTGCCCAATAGATTTACAATGCAATCAGGCACCGTATAATTGGTGTCATTACAACCTGACAAAGAAACGCCCACTCAAGCAAGAATATGAGCAAATTCGTAGATCGTATACAATAATTAATAACAATGCTTTCATCAGATAGCAACATATGTCTAATATAATCAAGAATAATAATATCATAATAAGATAAACCCGACTCTCCCTAAATCCCAATCACCACTAACAAAGCATATGTTTCAACAACCGTACGTGACCAGACTTTCTCCTTTGCCCAAAACATTGCTTCATGTACTCCTACCGCCTCCGTTATAAACGGAGACCAATCTGTTGCCACCCCATCCATGTTTACTTTAGTCCTCCCCACTCCCAGTTTCCCCCACTTTGCTCCCTCATGATTTGCATTCCCTGCTATTTGTCTTTGTAGTTGTGCTTCATGCCAACCTCCCAAAGCTGCAGCTCCCCCTGCTATCACATTCCTAATGGAAAAATAAGATTTCTTCCACACCTGCTGTTTCGGTGTTTCCATATGCTCCACAAGCACACTGTAAATCTGCACAAATCCTCTTCTGTTAACTGCTCAAACATAACTCGTATCTATTCAACAAAAGAAACAACTGGCCGCACAAACTGAGTGCCTAACTTAGACAAGATTTCTCTAGTTTCCAGACAACTACAAAAGAAAATGTAAAACATTCTCCTCCGCTTCGCTGCACACTGGACAATCTGCCAACACATTTACCCTGTGTTGTTGTAACTTATCTGCCGTAGGATGAGCACCCACCATGAGCTGCCAAAAAAGGAATTTTATCTTTGGAGGAACATATAGATATAAAAGAAGGCTAAAAACATCCCGAAATGTATAATATGATGGATGATAAATGAAAAGTAAAAAATCATGTCAGAACTCACATTGTAAATGATGACTTTGAAGTATTTAGGACAATATAGATACCTAGGGCTCCATGATAATAGGTAGTTTTTGTACGGTCCGCATATTGGCCCAAAACTTCAACGATCGGAACCTTCGGTCTGTTAGGCGGTATTTTTCTTTTCTACCTGCCAAACTGCCCCTCTATCTGATCGAAGAAGAAGATTAGTTCGTTGAAAGAATCCCTAATCTATTAGAAAACTTGAACTCAATGAGAAAGAGGGCAAGGTTTTGATTCTGGGTGTGGAAAAGAAGCTTCAGAGTGGTAAGCTAAACCGGGTGTGGGCATGCGGCTGAAGAAGAAGAAGGTTGCTCACTTCAGTGTCTTGGTGGATCTGAGGCTAAAGAAAATGAATTTGGAAGAATGTTTGAGGTAGAAGAATTTGGACGCTAGGTAGAGCGAGGCTAGAAGATTACAGTGTGAAGTTACCTAAATGTCCCAAGAGTAGGTGGAAGACTACTTAACTGAGTTAATTAAGTATAGATAGATTAGTCCCATCACTTTATTTCATCAATATCATTTATTTAGTATATCTATGATCTTTTCATTCTGGAATGACCCAAATGGTTTATAAAATGTAGTTATCTCCATGTATGTTATATGGGGTTTTAAGTCTGCTTTGGTGATACTATTTGATCTGTTTGTGTGCTCAATGAACATGCACATTTTTATACTGGATCCCACCAAAAGTTGCAAGTATCTGATGGATTTTTGAAGTACTAAATATCTACTCTGGGACAGCCTTCCTAAAGCTATAACTCCAAGTTTTAGATGTTTTAGATTGCAGATCACTAAGATGTAGAGTAATGTAAATAATGCTAATTAATAACAGCTCTTATTACTTAAATAGTGGATCAGAATTATTTAATGTTCCTTAAAAAATTGAATGTCATGTTCAATTTTACACCACACTGTAGAAGTGGTATTCTTATAGTGACTATAATATGTTACCTATTAATATTATTTCAAAGTAGCATAGAAAAAACCAAGAAAATATTACTAAAATAGATGGAGATCACATTACAAAAGTTAATACCTATTTGATAGAAATGGCAAACACCAGATATAGAGCCAACAATGAAACCCTTGTATCATTTAGATTAGAAAAAAATAAGCATTCAAATCATCAATTTACCACCAAGCAGTCAAGCACAAAGAAACAGAAGGGGTTTGACAGTTTACCTTGTCGTTTGGATGGTAACATATAGCAGTCACTATATCATGTATATCGGCCCAATCAGCAAACTTGCTCCCTGTTTGATAGCATTAGTGTAAAATTGACTGAAATACTTATTTCATCTTTTTATTAAGGAACATTTAGATGAAAATACTTATTTGATTATTTTGTTGGTAATTCTTTTCACACAGTAACAACAAAACTACGGAGTCAAATACCTCAACAGTAACAAATGAAAATGTAGGTTTAATAAGGGTTTAAAATTTCAAAATGACACTGCAATGATTAGTAGTTTAAGAATAAACATGCCAGTGTCAATTTACCTAATGAAGGAACCCAATTTGTCTTCTGGGATGGAAGAATGTCATGATGCTAAAATCCCGTTGGACCTTAATCTTCTTTGAGATGGTAGAAGATTGTCATTATAGACTCACGAGTATACTTATATCTTAATAAAATTGGATATAGCTTAATAAAATCCAAAAGATTAACCAACCAAATATTCATATAAAACTGTAAATTCACAGCTAGTTTAGCAAAGCTAAGCCAATAAGCTAATAAATTGGCTCACCCGACATTTTTACGAACACCTTAAAGGCTCTCTAAAACTGAGATAGTGGCTGGAATTTCAATAAGGTTTCCAGAAAAAACAATCAATCATACGGTCATAATAAATAGGGAGTCAGCATTGAGAAGTTCTATTTACAATTAAGCACATACAGAAACATAACACAAGCCACAATTAATTAATGATTAGTAGTTTAAGAATAAACACGCCAGATTCAATTTACCTAATGAAGGAACCCAACTTGTCTTCTGAGATGGAAGAATGTCATGATGCTAAAATCCCGTTAGACCTTAATCTTCTTTGAGATGGTAGAAGATAGTCATGATAGACTCACGAGTATACTTATATCTTAATAAAATTGGATATAGCTTAATAAAATTGGATATCAAACCTGAAAATTATATGCTCGTGATGTGCTCTGCACATAGCCCAGCGCCATGACTCTCGAGTTACCGTCGATAGATTGGGGGAGATGAATAATGAGGTGAGCGAAAGAAAAATTGCAGTAGGAGAGGTGATGGCCAAGTGCGGCGAGGTGCGGATGTGGTGCGGCTGAAGATGGAGAAGATGGGTAGTAAATGAATTTTCTTGTAAATGAGAAGAATCGAAACTTACGTAATTAAGAAGTAAAGTAATAATAATCAATCGTAATAAAAAGATGCAAAGGTAGTAAATGGGGAGAAAGGCAATTAAAAGGAGAGAGAAAGGAGAGAGAAGCGGGAAATAGTTTTGGGAGAGGATTCTCGTATATAATATATAATATATTAAGAAGTAACGTAATAATAATCAATCGTAATAAAAAGATGCAAGGGTAGTAAATGGGGAGAAAGGCAATTAAAAGGAGAGAGAAGCGGGAAATAGTTTTGGGAGAGGATTCTCCCTTTAGGTATAAATATAATATATAAGATATATAAGATATTACTAATTGGAGTTGGAAAGACAAAAAAGTGACAAAGAGAAAAAATTCCAAGAATGTGACTAGTGGTTACATACCGTGGTCTTAAACGTAGAAATTACCATGTGCGGATGTGTCTTGACAATCCTTTAAATGCTAAATTAATGGTGGCGTTAAATGCTTCATCTAATTGTAACTGAAAAGATTTATATTTTTGCATCAAATCCATTTATTTGAACTCTCATCTTCACCGTCCAAAAGGCCACACATGCTGACTTTTCCGGGTTATGTTAGTCACTATACGGTCTTGAAATGTTTAGGGCTTGTTGTGTTATAGAATTTCATGGATTGTGCGTTTATAGTAACTGTTAAATTATGTATTATGCTGGTGTAGTAACTGTTAGTAGCATGCTTCATATTTGTGTAGTCACTGTATGGAGTTATATTAAGTAGTGACTAAACAAACAATGCGACATATGTAGGTAGTAACTGATATAGCAAAAAAGGAACTCCAATAGCAAAGGTTTATGACTAGTAACATATAATGGATTATATATGTACACGTAATAGTTGAAATTAGAAAATGAATGCTAAAGATTGTAAAATTAGTGACTTCCATTTGATAGTAACTAATAACTATAGTAACTGTGTCCAGTCCTAATAGCAAGTATTCTGTAGGAACTGATAATTACTAGTACTATATTTATAAGTTTTTTCAAGAAATTGATAGTCACTAATGAAGTTACTGACTTCGTTATCAGTGTAGTCACTAATTTCATTTTATAGTGACTCCGGTCCCCCGATGTCACTGAAACTCTAGTCGCTGCCCTCGACATCAGTGAAACCCTAGCCACTGGCGTTGACGTTTCACTAAAACCCTAAGCGCCGCCTCCGACGTTACTAATACGCTAGCAGCCATCCCCGACGTCACTGAAACTTTGGTGGAGAGGTAGAAGGGGGAGACATACACTATGGTAGAAGCTAAGGTTGTGAAGTAAAATTAGATTTTTTCTGTAAGGAAGAGAATGACATGAACAGAGATGGGCGGATTTTGGAGCACGAAGGTTATTATAAAGTTGAAGTGAGGAAAGCATAAAAAAGATATGATTATTCTGCATGAGAACTTGATTGTCAAGTATTTGGAGGATATTCATGGTGATGAGAATACGGAGAAATGATATTGACGGAGAAGAGAGCCATGAATGAAGATTGAGGAAGATACGTGTGAATGCACATAGAGGGAGATATGGAGGAGAATTAATATGGAATACGGAGTATTAAATAGGATCGTATTAAATGATATTGATTAGATTAGTCACTTTTATGGAAAATGAAAAAGAATGTTATATTTATGTCTAAAGAAACTCTAAAAGTAATATCTAGGACATTATTTCAAAGTGCTCTCCTATGAGGGGATTCGAGGCCTTGTGAAGTCCATTATGATTTTTGGTAAAGTTGCTTAATCTCGGGGTCTTAAACGAATCAAATAATTTACGTTTTAATTTATGTTCGATTCGGGATTCGAATTCATATAAGACGATTCGAATTCGAAAAATATAAATACAAACAAGTATACAAAATTTGATTCGAAATGTTATCAAATACAAATACGAATATCCGTATATTCGATTCGAATGTTAATCAAATATATTCAACCAGCTTTCAAGCCCGTGCATCGTATGTAATTTAGCTAATTTGAAATTTAATTTCTATCGGATCACATATAATGTGATTTAAAAGAAAAATAAACTTAGTCTAATATAGAGTCTGTTTGATAATACTAAAGTAAATAGAATTAACTTATTTTGCTGAAATTGATTGAATTCTGGTTAAATAGGTGGAATCTTCTGAATCATGAAAAATATATGTGAAATATATTGCATTTGTGAAACAAAGAAAAAAATATATGAAAAAAAGTTAAATTGGTCTTCTACATAAGCATCTCAAGTAAACATAATTGTTATGAACCCAATAATAAAAAAATTCTATATTTCTTAATTGTTAGATCTTACAGTTTACTCATTAATAAGAACGTTTTTAATTGAATTAAAATTTTGGGTTTGATTTGGTATGAATTAATATGGTCTATTAGATGTCTGTTTTTTATGTGACTTATTGTTATAATTATTAAAGTTTGATCTGATCTGATTTAATCTGGAACTGAAATCAATCTAATTAAAAACATTCTATTAAAATAAAAGTAGGAATTTGTAAACCTATAAAGATTTTCTAATTTGGATTAGGAATCTATTTCAAAAGTGAAGGCATATTTGAATTTTAGGTGTAAAATAAAGAAACAACCAAATAAATTTTCTTATTTGGCTAAGCTAAACATATTTACTTGTGAAAATATATATACTTTATGTTGGTTATAATTTTTAATTTCATTTTTAATTATTTACTTATTTGAAGCTTACTAATTTATTAATAGGTGTCAAATTAATAAGTAAACTAATTTGCATATTTGTTTCTATTTAATTCGGTGTAGTAAACTAATATAAATTAGTTTCCATATCAATAAACGTTATTAGAATTTCACTTTGATAACCAAAAATTATTTTACTTATTTGCAGCTTACCAAATTATGTAAGGTGGATTTATAAGGATTTTTGTTTCCATATCAATATGCAATAAAAAATAGAATCTAATAAAAACAAAAGGTATAAAAATAAGTAAATAATTGTTATATATAATGGCATGGCAGGATTATGTGGCGCTTTGTATGCTCTTAAAAAGTTTCTACTTTATATATATATATATATATATATATATATATATATATATTGATTAATAATAGTGATGATATTAATAATCAAGAATAATAATAATTATAGTACTAGTAATAATTATGCTACAATAACTTTTAAAAGCTAAATATGCCCTCAAAGTGTAGCCTATATATACATTTACATAAACACATTCCAAGCCAATTTCTAATAAATCAGAACTATGATAAGTACTGATGGTTGTAAACGAAAACAAATCATTTTAATTCGATTCGTTAATTGGATTCATAAGTTATGATTTAAATTTGAAAATATAGAAAATAAATACGAATACAAATCTGATGTTGGTTCAAACATCTTTCAAGTACGAATTGTTGGGGAATATTATTCCGGCCTGTTACTGTTCAGGAGCACAAGACACCACCCCGGTATGGAGCCCAGTTGGCAAGGCCCATCTAGGCCCCTCGGGCCCGTTTAGAGCCATTTAGGCCCATTCGGCCTACTTGGGGTGGTTTCGGCCCGTTAAGAGCTTTCCGGCCCGTTAGGCTAGAAAGGCTCCCCCCTCTTCTATAAATAGGAAGCAAGGCTTCCACCCGTACGGGTAGCTTAGTTGGTCGAGTGATGGGAAAATTGGACCAAGTGACCAAGGTGCGAAACCCGCAGCGGCCGTGTGGAGGTTACAGAGCCTGAAATAAGGCTGGACCTCTGGTGCGCACGTGTATAAGGCCTACCGCCGCTTTGCTGACTGAGACACCGTGATTAACCTCCCCACCATCCTGTCGGGTCGGGGTGGGGGACTCCTGAGGTGGGAGATTCCACCTTTTGGACTAAGGAAGCAAGACTTCCATGAAAAGGAGGCTTTTTTGGGCTCTTCTCTGTTTCTTACTCTTCTTCCCTGTTTCTTCTTAGAGCTTAGCAACAAAGCTCCATTAATGGAGTTCCAAGATATTTGTACTATGTAAATGGTGAGGATGGTATTAATGAGAAAGAGCGAGCTTGGACGTTAGCCTAAAAAGTCCTGTGGTTTTGTCCCTTTCCGGGTTTCCACGTAAAAATAGAGCATTTCATACACATTATATCTATATTTATTAGTTTATGTTGGACTTATACTCAAAATTGGCAAATTAAATTCTTTGGGCCTGGCAGCCGAAATTCAGCCTATCCAGCTAAGTGTTACAACTTTCTACGCTCATGCTTTAAGATATTAATTGCTAGATAGTATCATTGCTATTAATTATTGAGTAACCATTATTTACTAAGGATTTAATTTTCCCAAGATAAATAATGTCGAGCGAAACTCTACTAATAAACCGACAATATTAATTATAATTGTTGGTGTTAGTGGGCCGTTCGGTCTTCTCCCGGTCGGCTAGGGTTGAGCACTCAACATAAAATGCTCATCCATTAAAGCGTTAATGGTTTAGTTAGTATTGTTACTATTAATTGCACATCACCATTAATTATTAGGGATTAAAATATCCCGAATTAAATAGTGACCGAGCGAAGCTTTAGTATTAAGTTCACCATCATTTTAATTGTTAGTCCCAGAATACTAACAATCATACAAACATAGCAGTGTTAAAGAAGCATATAGGAAGAAATCGACAAGATAAGAACCGAATCTGGTATACCGTATGAACCTGCCGCTACTCTCCCTGGAGAAGGAGAGCAGCGGCAACCCTAATTTCTCTCTATCTCGCCTCTGCGTCTCTAAGCCTCTTACGATTAGTTAGGGTTCCCGTAAGTTAGCCTCCTTTTATAGGAGAAGTTGGCTAACTTACGGGTTACAAGGAAGCCCACGGGATGATACACATTTGTGACCCGTATTACACGTTTAATTAATAACTACACAAATACAAAGATAACTAACTAGATTGAACACCATAAAATATTCCCAACAATCTCCCCCTTGGTGATCAATCGTGTTGAATCAGCATTGCAGCGTAGATATCTTTGTCTTTGTTGTTATTGAGCTTCCTTTGTCTTTGAACTTGACTTCTGAGGAAGGCTTCATGAAGAAATCCTTGCAATCTCCCCTTTGATGTCTTCTTGGTTAATTTGATCTTTGATGCTGGGGGTTGAGGGACCTTCAGTATCT